CTCCATTTATTGCAAATTCAATAGTGCTAGCAAACTAATTTTTTAAAAAGTGTATTCACCACTCAAACTACCGGTAGTAGTGACTCTAATTAGCCTATTAAGCAGGAGAGGAAAAGTACCACCCCCAGCCCTAGAAGTCAAAGACACCTTTTTAAAACAAAGTTACACATTTGCTTAACCTAATACACTGCATTAAGCTGCTTGTTTAATCAGATTTTTTTGCTGATCATTCCCCAGAAGTGTGCATCAGCTGTGCCTTTTGCAATTAAAACTCCTTTCAAATGTCCTTTATCTTAGGCACTAATTCATTATCATATAAGCTGTTTTAAGATGGAGCAGAAAACAATCCACAGCTTCCTCATACACTCTCACATTTATGAGACAATGCTTTTACTGTGGGTCACTACAAATGCTGACTTGAACTACTGCTATGAATGAATTTTATGAAAAATTCTTGTACATTATTTAACCCACTAAGTTAAACCTAGAGGCAGTTATAATTAGGCTTTCTCAGGTTAAAGTTTTTCTCCTGCAGTTTCAGACTCTAGGGAGCCTCTGACTGAATCTGCTTGCTGGCCTTGATCTTAAGTTTCTGAAGTAAATAACAACAACAAAAAAAAAATTAAAGAGGAAACTATTTTTTTTAATGGGGGGGTAGTATAGGAAAATTCAGTATTACTTGTGACACACAGGGTGATAAAGTAAAATGAGCTACACAATATTTTTGTACAACTTATATCTTAATAAAGTATACTTAGGGTTTTATTTAAATTTTTTTTCTTAAAGCGCTTAGACATCAAACTGTTCTTTTGAGGCATTTTAAAGGACTTCTCAATTTAGACCCTTTCCCTTGAAATCTCTGTAGAGTGGATTAAATGAATGCTACTACCTTCTTACAACTTGCAATGCCACTTTCTCTCAATGCTTTTCCCCTCTTCCTACACCCTCAGTGGACATGTACTAATCTTCAGCCCCTTGCCTCACCTGTTCATTACCATCTCCTCTGAGAACCCACCATTCTCATTGCTTTAACAACTACCTCAGTTTGAATTATTTGTTCATTTCTGCTGCAGCACTGACCTTTTACCTAAGTCCCCAGTTCTGAACTCCAAAAGCCATATGGGCATCTATTACCTCAGACATACACAACATGACCGAAGGATAACTTTTCACTTTTCACCTTAAACTAGGGCATCTGTTGTTAGGGAAGACTGCAGGCTCAAGAGTCAGCCTGCCTGGGTCTAATCCTGATTCCATACTGACAGTTCTCTCAACCTCTCCAAGTGTCCATTTCTTCAAGCATAAGACTGATAATGAAAGGACCTACCCAAGGTGTTCTCTGATGCCTCAATGAGCAATGCACTCAAAGCATTAAACCCAGTGCTGGCCCAGCAACAATGATAAACAACTAGCTCTTCCAAGCAACCTCAATCTCCAAATTTAAAAATTCTCAGGGGCATCTTGACTCATTTTTCCTCTTTCTCCTTTGTGTTTTACAACCCCAAAACACTGATTTCTCCTCTGATGTCTGTTGTTACTTATTTTGGTGTAACAGTATAACTCCCTATGACTAGACTTTTGTAACTGGGTCCCTTTCCTTTAATCTACACTGCACACTGAGTTAAGGTTCTACTGCACCTTGGTGTCAGAGAAAATGTACAGAAAAGAACATTCTGAAATTCCAGTACTGCCACTTATTAGCTGAAGGACCTTAGGCAAGGTCTCTACCTTCAGTTGGCTCTTCTAGATAACAGTCACTGACTGAACAAGTTATTGGTTCATGCAAGATATTTTTATTGCATACCTACTATGTATCAGGCTATTAAGATGAATAAAGATACTATCCCTGTCTTCCAAGGAGCCTAGTAGGGAAGAATGAAGGTAAGTAAGTATAATTTAATATATTGTGATAAGTCCCATAATAACAATGTGCATATGCGTGTGTGTGCACATGTGAAAACTCTGCCTGGGGGTGTCAGATAAAGCTTCAAAGAGGAGGTTACACTTCAGATGTGTCCTGAAGAATATGAAGAATTCGGTAATTCAACAGAGGGTGAGAATCAAAAGCAGGGCACCATAAATACACAAATAATATGTCTCAAAAGTACATAGGCACAAAAGATGACTACTGGTAAATGGCACAAAGAAAAAATGAAAAAAACAGGTGGGAGTCAGATTATGAAAACTATTAAATGCTACGTAGTATTGTATACAGATGCTAGTAGGCAGTAATCAAAAATTTTAAGAAAGAAAGGCCATAACTAAATCTGTGCATTAAAAAACAGACAACATTAGACAGTGTAGTATGAATGATGGGCTGGAGCAGTAGGGAATGGCAGCCAGTTGGATGGTTCAGGTGAGAGATGGGGAAAACACAAAAGAAAGCAGTAGGATGGCCAAGGGTGAGCAAATTCAAGAGTATTAGGGTCTGCACTGATAGGATTTTGCAACTAAACATATAAGAGGAGAAGAAAGCTTAGGAACAACAACAACGAAAAAAGAGCCTAAGGTTTCTGTTTTAGAAGATAAAAATAAAGAAGCATAAACATGTTTAGGAGCTAAATATGATGGGTTCAATATTAAACATGTTAAAATGCCGTGTCATGTGAAGTTGTCCAGAGGTAATTTGAAAAGATGCTTCTTCCAGGCAGGTGCAGTAGCTCACACCGGTTTTCCCATTACTTTGGGAGGCTGAGACAGGAAGATCGCTTGAGGCCAGGAGTTTGAGATCAGCCTGAGCAACAAAGTTAAGACCCCATTTCCACAAAAAATAGAAAAATTAGCTGGGTGTGATGGTGCATGCTTGAGGTCCCAGCAACTCGAAAGGCTAAGACAGGAGAATCGCTTGAGTCTAGGAGGTTGAGGCCACAGTGAGCCAGGATCCCACCATTGCATTCCTGCCTGGGTAACAGAATGGGACCCTGTCTCAAAAAAGCAAAGACAAAAAGAGAAAAGATGCTTCTTCCCATTTCTAGAGTTCCAGAGAAAGGCCTGAGTGTGAGACACTGGGACAGATGAATAAAGATAAAAAAGGGTAGGGGATAGGAAAAATAACATACTAATACTACTTCATCTTTCTGTGAGGGCCATTGGGATGGTCAAAGTGAAATAATAGATCTAAATGTACTGGGTAAAGCATGAAGGGTTACACAAAGACCAAAATAGAGAACCAATAAAAACTGCCTGGGGCTGAAAGAATAAAACTCAGTTGAGGGTGAAAAAGAAAAAGCAGGCTTGCTTTTTACAGGGTTGGGAGGACAGACACAGATAAAGACAGCAGCAAAGTTAACAGAAAACAATGTTCCCTCCAAGGTCTTGCAAGAGTTGTAAAATGCCATAATGACCCTCTGACCTGCTTTGCTGTGTCTTATCCCCTGATAACAATCACAGGGGACACTCAATCGCTAAACTGCCCTTGCCTCATGATAGTACCCAACCCCAAATTAATCCCTTGCTTCTCCTAATCCAGTTGCAGACAAGGCAACCAACCAAGAGCCCTCCTCATCATTCAGCATCAGCCCAGGCCTCCCAAAGGACGTCTCTTCCCTGCCTCACCCAGCACAGTCAATCTGACTTTGTAGCCTACAGGTTTGTCCCTGGTTGTCTTAGGCTGATCAGGCTTTCATGATACCATTTCTCAAAAAAAAAAAAAAAAAATTACAAAGGTTCACTACTGTCTGTTACATACCATTAATAGATGGAAACCAATATGGAGATGTCAAGTGAGTTAGAACGTCCAAGTCTGTGTACTTGAAAACGCTGAAGTGGAAAGCCTTGTTCAGTTTCATAAAAGACACACTAAAATGAACTTTGAATGTCAACCATCCCATTTGTAAGACAGTGTACAGACTCTGCTTTTTCATTCAGTCATTTATTCACTTCCCTCTTTAACAAATAAGGTATGCATTAAATGTACTACATACCAGCACTACACTAGGTACTGGGAATATAAGATAAGCTTGCTAAGTACACAACTGGGAGAGAATCAGTTTAAAGAGAAAAAAGTATCTCAACACAAACTGATGCAATTAAGAACACAAGGTGTAAAACTGCATGTAATTCAGAAAAACAGGAACACAATGACTGGGGGGTGCAAGTAAGATGGAAGAAGGGGCAAAGGTGGGGGGTGAAGGGGAGTTTAAAGGGTGAGGAGGGACACAGAGGCAAGACTGGAGGGAGGAAACAGAGAAAAGAGGTTGCTGAAATGGCCAACAAAAGATGAAGGCCGGAACAAAGTTAATTTAGGATATGAGAAAAAGTCATAAAACACACACACATCAAGATACACATTTGTGTATGTGTACAGGTTAGAATGGGGAAGTGGAACACTTGTAGATAATTTTCTCATCAAGAGGAAATTCACATATACAAAAATCATCACACAGCTCTAGAAAGACAAACCAGAAAATTAATTTCTCAAATATGAATATCACCCAGGTCATATTTTTCAAAACAGTTGATTCTTTTTTTTTCAAATACCCAAAGTAATACAATAATAACATCTGACAGCCATTTAAGCTGAAGGTTTCACAGAGACTTAAAACACTGGCTTCCTGTGTTCTTTATTGCTCCACGAGGGCTATTTCATTCAATTATAATGACATTTCAATTTGGAATACAGAGTTCCCTCTCCCTTTAAATGTTAAATTGACTTGTTTTGGTACAAGAAGCATCCAGTATGCTCTATTACCTGCAGGATTAAAAAGGTATCTTGGGCAATATTAATAGTTTAATACTTTAGTAACAACAGAAACTATTTTAGAATCTATCGTTTTTTTCCTCAAACTGTAATTTGCTTCAAAAAAAATCTCCATACTCTTTATTCATAGCCCTATCAGAAGCTCCCTATGAACTGACTTTCTAAAATAAACATACATTTATCTAGTCTATATAATTTACAGTCAAAAACAAATCATAGACAGAAAAGTCAAAAGGCTATTGCTTCAACTAAGCCCGCATGAGGTAAGTACCGAATGATTATAAAATATAAAATCTAATTAACTTCAAGATATATCAAAATGAAGCAAAATCCTATTACATCTGTGGTCATATTTAATTTACAAGGACCATAAGGAAAGATGGGACTCAGGTGAAAGAAAAACGCCTAGTGTAAATGTCCACAGAACTTACCCATCTGCACAAGTTGAATAAGCTATTTTTGATGAACTTGAAATGTACCATCTATGACAGACTTGGGTATTTTGTTTTCCCCACATTCTCTTCAAATTACAAAGAACCGACTGAAAGAAAATCTTCTGTAATGACATATAACTGAAAAATCAAATGATTCAAGATAAATACCGGATCATTAAAGAGTAAGCGTCCAAATAACTGCTTGGCTTCCTCCAGGCTTCCCTCCAAGTAAACAGCTCCTAGATAAAAGGAAGAGAATACCAAAAGAAGTGTGCATTAATATTCAAAGAAAATTACATATCTCTATAAAAAGCAAAGAGGCAAGCCAAAAACCACTCACAGGAGAAAAAATCAACACATTCAGAAGCAATTGTTTTAAAGATAACATTTTCCTTCTTTTAGCTATGCTTTGTATTACAAATTAGACCGAAATATGAAATTAAATTTACTAAAATCTAAATCTAATATTGTAAGCAAAAGAAGTCAGATATGAACTATCATGAAGGGTAAGGCTATAAATCTTACTACAGAAACAATGCACAAATACTTGATGTTACTAAAGAAAATGTTACATTTTATTTTCTGTATTTATAGTTTATGTTTCAGAACAAATATATAAAGGCATCTAAGGAAAAAAAAACCTGAAAGACAAAACATGAGTCTAGAGCAACGAAGCCTTCTGCAAATAAAAACCAGGGTAACCTTTACCTTTAAGTTAAAATAATTAAGTGCTGTGCACACATTTGGCATTAATCATAAAAATAAGTACTATAGAAACATTTTAAATGGGTATCAAATAACTCTGGAACAGGGGCAGTCATATTTTCATGAAATCAAATTTTTACACTTGTCTTTAGAAAAGCTACTTTGTCATGTAAAATGTTAAGATACTCAGTTTCTAGGGTTTTTGACAACTAAATACATTTATCACTTATCAGTAGTTGTAGTAACAATGACAGTAACAGTAAAAGTGGTGGTAGTTGTGGTCTGGGAGCTACTTATGCCATTTAAAGTTGAAGCTCTCACAGAAGTTTAAAACACTGGCTTCCTGTGTTCTTTATTGCTCCATGAGGGCTATTTCATGCTAAGCATTACCATACAAAGCATTTCCACATTTTTATCTTCACTTTCATGGGGCGCCTCACTAGGTGGTATGAGAAAAGACTTAAAGGATGTAGGCTCATATTAGTTGATTTGGGGGAGAGCTTAAGGAAGTCGAATTTTACTCTGGGTTGGCTGCCGCTGGAATCGGATATTAAGATCCTTATAAAAACTCTGTGAGGTAAGTGATACTATCTCCATTTCACAGATGGAGAAACAGAAGGTCAAAGAAATTAGATAGCCTGCCAAAGACACAGATCTAAGTAATGATGGCACAGGGAACCAAATCATGTCTGCCTGGCTCTGGAGGCAAGGGTAACTCCAACTAACAAAAATATGATGTGTACAAAGCACAGTAATTCCATGTGACAAGCTCTGAAAGTAGATATATTTGTGAAAGACTCAGCTGTGAAAAGACAGTGGATAATTATTAAACATTCTTTTGCTACTATCATCAGCATTAAACTATAATAGGAAGCTTTTATACTCATTTTCAAAGGAAGGGGGCAAAAATGATAAGTACAAAGGCCTTTGAAAAATAAAATGTACTTGATCATTTACCTAAAAAAATCAAACTGTCAATCTACTGTAACATTTCATTGTAAAGTATACTTGCAATCATCAGCTAATTAACTCTTCAACTCTCCTGTACAAACAGCTAATTGTATTCAGGTTACAGACAAAAAGAAGGCGAGGAAGTAAAGAGCCTGAGTGAAACGCAAAGTGTCTACATCAGTCTTACTTCAAGTGAATAAATAATAGTTATATAGACTTGAGCCCTGAGATTTTTTAAATGTGGTGCTTTCAAGATTTTTAAATCAGAAAAAATGGCAAGTAGTTTAAAATGTAGTCAAAAACAACACTGGAGCCTCTCTAGCAACTTTATTTCTGTTTATTTATATATATGACCCTGAATCAAATCTGGATAGTAATCATCTCCATATTAATTCACTTCACTGCAATTCATTAAATATTTACCAAGCATCTACATGACAGCAGGCACCAAAAATGCATAAAAGAGAAAGCACGTTCACTGTTCTGGAGGAACTAAAACAGCTTTGATACAAGGTAGTAGTGTTGCACTTAGTGAGCACAAGTGCTTCGAGAACCATCCCACATTTCCACACTGAATTTCATGTGCTCTCCAGACCACTGAGACATACAAGAAAGTAGATTATGAAAAGAGAAATTACCTATTAATGCTTCAAAACAATTAGCCATTGCGTGGCGAAGGTCCGATTCTCTACAAAGGTCAGGCCCATGAGCATACAACATAAATCTATCCAGTTCAAGTTTCTACAAAATTCAAAATGATAAAAAGTAAGACAGTTTGTCAAAATCTTAACTATAATAACTCAGTGTCTCCTGAGGGAGAGTGGGTGATGGTTACAAATTCACTGGCCTCATGTTAGTGTATCAAGAGAGTTTAGCCTACCATCCATTAGGAGTCCTGTATATATGGCTCAGTTTTGACTAACTGGATTCCTTCCAAAAAAAACTTTCATAAATTCCCATAGTTCAAGTAGGGGTCAGAATTGATCAGATCTGAGGTTTCCAATTCCAAGTTTAGACCCAATAGTAGCCCCGGCTGGAATAGGACTTTGCTACAAAACCATGGCCCCTGGGTTCACCCAATATGTCTAGGGAGACACAAACCTAACCCAGTTTCTGAAAGTCAATTTTACGTCTTTGGTTATAGAGTGATGTGGTACTGATGATGTCTGTGCCATACAAAACAGATTTTTATGTGACAGAGTAAATAGGGACCCTCAGAAGATGTCAACATGCCTTATAATTCTGAATTTCTTTTAATTTGGTGAGGATTTGGGGGGTATATCTTTGTACACAGGTCTCTTACTGAGACCTTCTGAGCAACAAATTGGAAGATTCTAAGGGCTCTGAGAATAACACTTGTTAGTAAACTGTGTTTCCTTTTTTGATTTGGCCTCAGAAGACTTTATAGTCGAATTTGTGGCCCAGTTCTAGGTATAGAACTTATGAACATAATAGTGTATAATAAGTTTACCTTTGGCTTTATTCTACTGTCTTACCCATATTTTTCCTTAGAGCTCTACAGCTGCTTATTTCTTATAATATGGCATTATAACATACATATCAATTCCAATCCTTCCAAAACTAGACACAACGTGAATATTTTTTATAAAACACCTGGGATTGAATAAATGGAAATCATAATTCTTTGAATAAAAAGAAAGATACAGACATAACATAAATATGCAATAAATCTGTTTCCGTTACCATGTAATTCAATTCAATAAATACTTACTAAGCAATAACATGCCACATGATATGGAACAAATCACAAGTCAATGAACAACCTAGGACAATGAGTCTCATCAGTCCTCAGATAATAGACACTCAGATTTTGTGTATCTTAATATGTATGTTAAATATCCAAATTCATTTATATTGGAAAAAGACAAAGATAATAAAAACAAGTCATATATGCTATTGTATTTTATACTGTTAGAAATCCATGAGTATAAAATATACTCAAATGAGAGTTTTGACTACCATACATGCAATAGCAGAAAACAGCTCTTTTTAAAAATTGATCCCAAAGTGCAAGAGTTTATACTAGAATATGTAAATTTCATGTTTCACAACTTCACTGGGAAAATCAAATTGTTTGCTATCTCTGGAGCCCTGCTTGAGAGCAGACTGCAAACCATATTTTATCTTATAAACAACTACTGTATTCTGGAGTGCTGTGAATTTTCTGACTTCTTCTATTCCCTATTCTATATCCTTATTTTTCCATAAGGACATCAGTGGAACTTTTAAAAAGGAGGGGTCATGGCAAGGTGGCCAACGCCTGTGATTCCAGCAATTTGGGAGATCGAGGTAGGACTGCTTGAGCCCAGGAGTTCAAGATCAGCTTGGGCAACAAAATGAGACCCCATGTCTACAAAAAAAAAATCTTAGCCAGGAGTGGTGGCACACACCTGTAGTCCCAGCTACTTGGGAAACGGAGGTAGGAGAATCACTTTGAGACCAAGAGGTCAATGCTATAGTGAGCTATGATCATTCCACTGTACTCTAGCCTGGCCTACAAAGTGAGACTGTCTCAAATTATTAAAAAAAAAAAAAAGGTGATGGGGTGTTCTACTGTGTATGTGCTAAATTGCTCATTAGCCTATAGAGCTGATCTTAAACTTTCATTAGAGTTTCACAAAGTCAACAACTCTCCATCAAGTCCTTTCACTTCCAAAATGGTAAAGGACCATTGGTCTACACAGAGGAAAAGTAGGACTGTCACAGCCTTCTGGGAGCCAGTGGGTCTTGAGTACAATGAGAATGATGAGGCATGGGTTTGGTGGAGGAAGATCACGAAGAAATCCCTGAAGGGAGTAACTAGTCACCTCTGTGATTACGCATGGTTTTATATAGCACCCAATGTGTTATGTGATAGCTTCTGTTTCTTGCTATGACAATTTCCCATACTTTGTAAATATCCTCCCTACAAGTGTTTGAAAATAGTTATGCAATTCTTTTACATCCTAAGCTAAGAGAGTAACAATATGCTTACTAATATGTACTTCCAATGGCATTTTGACAATTAAACCAACTAAACACTAAAGCAGCTTTACAGTTTTAAGATTTCATTCATTATGAGACTGTTAAAACCAAGTTAGCTTACCTTATTGTCCACAGTTTTTTATTTATATTCTCAGATAACCCCAAAGCTGGCTCAAAGCCTACCACTGTAACTATAATGATGACGGTATTACATAAAACAAAAACAATGCATTCTTACTAACACATGGGATAAAATCAACCACATTTTGAGTATGATTAATGCCTGGGCTAGATCAAATTAGAAACAAGTCATGAAACTAGAATGGGTTTTATCTAGTCTGTTCTACCACATTCCAATCTTTATACTAAGATGAAGAAAAAACAGGAATTATTTAAGGCAAAATTCAAGGAAAACTCACAAAAGCATTTTTCAGTAGATCCTCAGTTTTCGAGGATTCAACAGCCACAGTTTAAACTACTATTAAAGAAACCCAAGGTTTATAAAAATTTAAGAGTTTATCATAAGAACAAGGGTAGCAGCAATAAAAATAATTCATGCCTAAAAAATTATTAACATATTTGCATGATCACTATGATCAAGTATTGTGCCAAGCACTTTGTAAGCAGAATCATTAAACCTCACAATCTCATAATTTTCACAACCAGGCTATGTAGCAGGTGCTAATGTCATTTCCATTTTACAGATGAGACAGCAAAGGCTTGAAGAAGAGAATAGCAAGTTGTCAATTTGCCTATGGTCACCCCATTTGTATGAGGAGGAGTGTGGACTGGAACCCTAATGAGTCAGTGCAAGTGTCCAAGTTCTTATCTGCTACAATCAAGATATCATATGGAGATGGAAACATCAAATCAGATCATGTCAGTAAAGGCCTAGCATGCATCTGAATCAAGAAAAGATTCTCAGTCACTCAGCTAAGTCAGTGAGGCTAGCTGGACAGCCTAAACCCTAAATCTTAATTAAGAGGATCTGTGATCTGGGTGATTCTCAACAGTCTATAAAGTACCCCTTGTGGATGTAAATGATCTGAAATATTCTGATCAAAGCTATCATTCTGCTTGGTAATGTAAATTAAAAACAAATGTACTACAGAAATATTACACAAAGGGAAAATACAGAATATTTCATTTCTTTTGCTTTGCTCCCATGTCTCTTTTCCCTAAATGTTTAACTCTGTTCATGTACATCTGTCAAATTTTTCTTCATCTGTTCTCAAGTTACCTCACTGTGGAGTTCATTAGCTGCTGGTGAAACTCACAACGGTAACAGAACTAATAAGACTGAATCCTTAAAGCCCAAACAAAAAATACTTCCTGGTCTATAAAATATTACACCCCTAATATATCCTAAAGAGTTACTTATTCAAATACAAAATTATGCAAGGACTAAAGAAAAGGATATCAGACTTAACTACAAATGCTGCAGATGTTTTATATACCTTTGCTAGCATGGCAAGGTGCTGATTCTGAACAATGGCAGTCCGATAGGTTGCTAATCCTCCTTCTTCCAGACTAGGAAACAAATAGTACAAATGGACACTACAAAAAAAAAAGAAGCACATAAATACATATGAATCACAACATTCTGTCTGTGCCCCTGAATCATAGAAACAGGCCTGGCACACAATATCTGTATAATAGACACCAGCTGAACTGAACTAAATGATTTGACTAAGTCTCTAAAAGTTAAATGGTATGTACAGTAAATCCAAATGTGCTAAAATCCAAAGAGCACCTTTCACTCATATTTTTACATTTATTTCTATTAAAAGATTTCTCTAACATCTGATGACAACCAAGAGCTGAATAATCTGTCACACACTGCTAAGAGCAATTACATCTGATACTCCAAAACTGGGACTGGAAATAAACACTTTTTCTTGGGTTGAGTTATGAGGCGATCCTGGAAGAGATCCTGGGAAGCCCTGGACAGGGGTACAGGAGTGGCATACGCTTCACAAGGACAGGAACAGAACTGAGAACGGCACTTATGGCTGGCTCTGCTATAAGGATGAACCTAGAAAAGTGGATCAGAAAAGTGTGGGAACTAGGCGGAGGTCACACAGAAAACCAGTCTAAACCACAACAACCGATGATCTCTTCCACACCACGGAACATTTTGTGAGAGCCACTGCTGAGCAGGGCACCTAAGTGTATTGAGTTTTAGGGGCTTAGAGAGTAGTCCCTTTTCCTCATTTTGCCCTTCATGTGGAAAAAAAAAATGACCCAGAGAGAATAAAAATAGCTCAAGAGCATTCCAAGAGAAGTATGTGTTGTCTCTCTTTAAAACGGATATTATGTGAGTATGGAGAAACAAAACACATCTTCCTACCCCATCTCCAAATTAAGGACCCTAAAACACTTCTGGAGAGAAAACACACACACACACACACACACACACACACACACACACACACATCTAGTCATTAAAATTACTTGTAAGCTTTACTTCCCTTGAGATCACAAAGAGGGAGAAAGAGATCAAAGACAAATCCTAGAAGATGAAATGACATTTTAAAATATCATCCCTTTCTTTACAAATTGAATATAAGCTCTGAAGCATCTAGACCAAGACAAGCTGATCTCTTGTGGCTGTAAGCAACTTTAACATATACTTGACAGGACAGGGACACCAGCCTTTCATCTGTAATCTCGCTCATTACAGCATCAGTGAGTGCAAGTTGTCAGGGCAAGAGCCACAGACATATGATTTTTGAGCTCTACAAAAGAGATAAAATACAGTGTTTCAATGCCTTATTTGGCTAATTACAAAGAAAGTAATGTAATAACTATGTTGCCTATAAAATGTAATTATGGAGAACTGTAAAAAAGCCTAATTACCTGGTCAGAAATTCAACAACAGCATCACCCAGGAACTCCAACCGTTCGTTGTGATTAATCCTACAGCGAGAATTTAAAAGATTACTTAAAATGGCATACTTACACTCCTTCCCCCAAGAAAAGAACACTTGAGGGTAGCTCCTTTAGTCATCAAAACACCTTACCTATTCTTCATAATTAAGAGCACCAATCACCTCTTGGCTCAAAGTATCTGGGGCCTGCCTAATGGGTAAAAGGGGGGATGCATTTCTTCATACAATGTGGTTCAGGTTTTCTACCTGGGGAATTCCTTCCCCTGGGAACCAGACTTAAAGCATCCATAGACGCTAAGGCTATATTGCAGTAACAATTGTGAATATTTCCACATGATTATTAGGTAGACAACAGAAAGTAGAATACATTCTAGTGAGAGTTAGAGTGACCACTGAAAAATCTGTGCTGATACAACATTGTGAAGAGTTTCTCATCACCCCAACTTTAAACTCAACCCAGCATCTAAACTCCTTCAAAACAGGCCTAAGCTTCCTTTTCAGTCTTACAATCTGCTGCTCTCCTCTCCTATCTACATGTTGGGATCCTGCTCCCAAACTGCCTGGTACTCTCTGAAAGAGGCATCCCCTAAAACACTCTGTGCCTCTCTTCAGGCCAAGATCTCTGCCACCCTAAAGCTTTCCACTGTCTCCCCAGTATTGAGCCACACTGAAAATCTACTCATCCCTCAAGGCCTAGAGAAAATGTTATCTTCTTAATGAAGGCCTGCCCAATGCCCTCATCAAAATTAATGCTTCCCCCTCAGCGCACACTTTATTATAAGGAGGGGCAGACCAAAAAGGGAGCAGGTTTTAGGGGAGAAGCAGGAGGGGCATATTAGGTCTTAATGTTGAAATGCCCACGAAACATCCAAATTTAGAGATCTAGTAGAGGGCTGGATGTATTAACCTACTACTCACGGGCAAGGACAAAGGTGGTGATACATCTTTAAGAGATAGTAATGTTTAGATGGGGTTTCGGGTTATGAATCAGATGACACAACTTGGGGAAAGACACCCAGAGAAAAGGAGTCTCAGGATTGTGCCTTGGGGAGTGTCATGGTTGAGCAGTCATGCAGAAGGGAAGCCAGCAAAGGAGAACTGGCCCTGGAAACAGGAGGAAAAGGAGGCCAGTGTGTTACTCTCTAGCTAAAAAAAAAAATGGTCAGCCACACCCAATGTTGCTTAGATTCAAGTTAGATGAGAGCAGACCACTGATTCAGTCCCTGACAGGCAATCTATGAAGTGGAGAAGACAAAACTGATTCTGACAAGAGTAGAATGGAGAAAAGTAAGTTATCTGGAATTGGACAGTAGCCCTCTCCTTACCTACAGTTTCTCTTTCCACAGTTTCAGTCACATGGAAAATTCCAGAAATAAACAATCCCTAAGTTTAAAATCGCAAACCCATCTTTGTAGTGTGATGAAATCTCATGCTGCCCCACCCTGTCCCACCTGAGGTCACCCCTTTTCCAGTATCTCCACATTGTCACTTAGTAGCCATGTGTGTTATGAGATCAACTATCACAGTACTGCCATGTTCAAGTCACTCTTATTTTACTTCATAATGACCACAAAGCACAAGAGTCATGATGCGGGCATATTGTTATAACTGTTCTATTTTAGTACCGTTTTTAATCTCTTACTGTGCCTAATTTATATGTCAAACTTTATCACAGGGTATGTACATAGTATGTGTAGGGTTCAGCACTATCTTTGGCTTTGGGCCTCCACTGGGTTCTTAGAATTCCCCATGGATAAGGGAGGACTACTGTATATGAAAATAACGTGTCTATACAAAGAGAGGAAAACCAAAAAGATGGGGACAGCATGGAGGATCCACAGAGCCTCTGGGGCCTTAGCAAAAATAGAAAGGGGCAGACCTGGACCTGAGCTGAAGCTGGCCTCACTGACTCCAGGGGCTTCCTTAAATTTCTCTGATACCAACAAACATCTACTCAAAAAATTCAGCAGCTGACTGTCAAGTCTAAACCTGCCTGGCTTTCAAGGTCGTTCTTTATCTAGGCTCATCGTACCCACCCCTTTATTGTACTTACAACAGCAACTTTCAACTCCAAGTTGACCACCCACCACACTGTACACCATAATCACACTATTCCCTCTCCCTTCCCATAATTCTCCCAAATCCCACTCATTTTAGTCAACTGAGACGCCCACGCTAGGTACTGGAGCTCCCAGAGGTGCTGGCTAACTCCCACCACCCCCATTCCCACAAGAATTCAACATTTATCACTAAATTTACAACAAAATTAGATTGTATTTTGTTGTAAATTAGATTGTATTTTGTTCTGTTTCAAGTGTGCAAGTCTAGTTTCCATATTTAAAGCCTCCCTGTAGTTTCAGTACACAGTAGAAAATTTAAAATATTTATAAATTAAATTACTCGTGGCTACCAAGTCATTTACTTTGGAATGTAAGTAAAATTCTGTCATTTCACTTATTAATAAGTAAGTTTATTCTTCTACTCCACTATTTCTCCATATTTTGGAATTTTAAAATTAAAAAAGTAGTAGGAAAAATTGGAAAGTTATGAGCAACAAAGTGATCTGAACCTTCAGTTCCATTTATGGCCTTTAGTCTATGTGAAAAGGTATTCTGGAAAGCAATTACAGATTGAGCATCCTTAATCCAAAAATCAACAAAATACTCCAAAATCTGAAACTTTTTGAGTACTAACATGACACCACAGTGAAAAATTCTACACCTGACCTCATAAGGCAGGTCATAGCCAAAACTTTATACACAAAAGTATTAAAAATATTATATAAAATTACCTTCAGGTTATGTGTATATATGAAATATAAATGACTTACATTTAGACTTGGGTAGTATGCCCAAGACAGTTCATTATGTACCCATAATTATTCCAAAATCCAAAAAAATCTGAACTCTAAAACACAGTTGAGTATTCCTATCACAAGCATTTTGAATAGGGATACTCAACTGTGATAGCTAATATGGGAAATGAAAGAGAGAGAAAAAGATAACACATTCAATTTATGGCTATACTGACAAATTTATTATCTCACAGTTTACTTTTATTTTTTTATTTTTATTTTTTGAGTTGGAGTCTTACTCTGTCACCCAGACTGGAGTGCAGTGGCCGCTCCCAGCCACCGCAGCCTTGACCTGCTGGGCTCCGGCGATACTTCCACTTCAGTCTTCCAAGTAGCTGGAACTACAGGCACACGCTACCACGCCCGGCTAATTTTTTTGATTTATTGTAGAGATGAGGTTTCTCCAACTTACCCAGGCGGATCTTGAACCCGCGGGCTCAGGCAATTCACTCACCTCGGCCTCCCAAAGCACGAGATTACAGGCTGAGCCACCGAGCCCAGCTTCACAGTTTACTTTTTTAAAAAAAAAAAAAAAGCAGTAGGCCCTAAAACAAACTTATTTTTGTCAAATATATATATTTTATTTATTTATTTATGTATTTATTTATGTTCTTTTTATTACTTTTATTGGTAGTGAGAGTTGGGCTATACACTCTCAAATTTCTTCTCACCTTTTTTTATTATAAAGATGTGGGGTACAATTCAGAGTTAGGCATATAAACGTTGATTACGCAGGTATCCTTGTTGATGAAGTGTGCTCCCCCCCAGCAGTTTCCCTCAACTGCCAATCCCACCGCCCTTCCCTGACAGTTTCCCACTACTGCCAATCCCTTTCTTAGAGTATTATAATTAATTGTTCAAGGTCCGCTTGTGAGTGAGAACATATGGTACTCTGTTTTTTGTTTCTGTGATAGATGACTGAGCATGATGAACTCTAAATCCATCCAAGTTGCTGGAAGTCCATGTTTGTCCTTTATGGCTGCGTAATATTCCATTGTTATATGATATTTTAAAGGACTTTTTTGTTGTTGTTACTCCACTAGCTAAGAGTGGCTAAAAAGTTCTAGCTAAGAGTGGCTAAAAAGTTCCACAGTGGAGTATACATTAAAAAAAAAAAAAAATCAGGCTAGGTACAGTGGCTCACATCTGTAATCCCAACACTTTGGGAGGCCAAGGTCAGAGGACTGCTTGAGCCCAGGTGTCTGAGACCAGCCCGGGCAACATACCAAGTCCTCGTCTCTATAAAAAAATTTTAAAATTAGCCAGGCATGGTGGAGTGTGCCTCTCGTCCCAGATACTCAGGAGGCAGAGGCAGAGGGATCATCTAAGCACAAGAAGTTGATGCTGCAGGAGTGAACTGTGATTGTGCTACTGTACTCCAGGCAAGCAACAGAGTGAAACCCTGACTGAAAAAATAATAAAATATTTTTGGTCAGGCACTCATGTTTGTAACCCTAGCACTTCAGGAGGCTGAGGTGGAAGGATCACTTGAGGCCAGGAATTTGAGACCAGCCTGGGCAACATGGCAAGACCTTAGCTCTATAACAAAAAATAATAATTAATCAGGTGTGGTGGCACACACCTGTAGTCCCAGCTACTCAGGAGGCTGAAGTGAGAGGCTCACTTGAGTCCAACAATTTGAAATTATATATATTACGTCACTGCACCCCAGCCTGGGCAACATAGCAAGACCCTGTCTCTAAAAAATAAAACATTAAAAAAATATATAAGTTTTGGAAGCTACTCAATACTGAGGTTTTGCTTTCTGTCAAATACACCAGAACTCGAAAAGCATCTACCATCATTCCAGGAGAAAGCACCAAGGAATAGAGGCATGATTTAATGGTAAGATGATGTTAACTCCCAAGTCCTTTCACAATTTCAAGAAACCTACTAAGCTGCTATCCTGAGAAGGACCAGAACTAAGAAACAAATGGTTAGTTTTTAAAAAAGAAGGAAGTTAATGTTACTCTATTCTTTTTCATGAGCCAGTAAGATAAAAATACATTTTATGTGGCAGGAGTTTATTTTCTTCCTAACAGTTCAAAGTACTACACAGGAAAACCTACTCAACATGGAAAGCAAGAGACCTGGCAGGGGGCTGGGGACAAAGCATATTTAGATTGTCTTATGCTTTATTAAAGAATAACAAGACATTTAGTCAAAAAGTAATA